GCAGTATTGATTTTATTGATATGAATTACCTATATATGCTGCCTGCTTCAGACTGTTTTGACAGAACAGGTCAAAATCAATAAAAAAATAAATGTGCTTAAAGGGGACTTCCACCAATTTTTCAAATTTTCATCCGAATTTAGTGTTTGAGATGTAAAAAGAGCCATTCAGAGTGGTTTGGTGTGAAATGGTTGATTGTAGAGACTCAGATTCTTCACTGCAAAAAATGATATCTTAGCAAGTGTAAACATCTTAAATGTAGTCAATATGCCTAATGTTTCTCATTGTGAGACTGTCGAAAGAACATTGTGAGATTATTTAACTTATTTCTAAACTTTTTTTACTTGTTTTAAGCAGTTTTATCTTATAAAAGTTTGTCAGATCATGTTTCTTGTTTTAATCATTATTTCTTGAAATGAGCAAAATTACCTTCATTATTTCTCTAAACAAGTAAACTAATCTGCCAATGGAATAAGACACTTTCACCAGATAAAATCACTTAAAACAAGTAAAAATGTACAGAAACAGGTGGAATAATCTTATAATATTCTTACAACAGTCTCATAATGAGAGATATTAGATTTATTGACTACATTTGAGAGGTTTTCACTTGTTAAGATATTATTTTTTCCAGTGTTTAGAGGGGTGGTGATAGGACCCAGGGGTCGCCATGACTACAACACAAATATAGACTAATATTTAGTTACTATCCAAAACCTCCAGTGAACCTACACGAGTCTTCTGAGCTTTATATGTAATGTCTGAAAAAAGTTTTCTTTGGGGACTCTTTTGCCCCAGAACGTCCTGATACAAACCAGATATTTCAGACGTCTGCTTCTTATCACCACCACAAGTTACAGAGAAACTGAGTCTGAACAATTCTGTTTCTCTAGAACAGAGCATTTCACACCAAACCACCCTGAACGATTTTGAAAAAGTGGTGGAATTCCCCTTTACCATTCAGAATACTGTGTAAGGTTGCTCTTGGTGTAACTTCAAGAGAAACAGAACAACACAGTCCTATCAAAACAAGCCATGTCGCATTTCTAAAGCATTCATTTAGCGTAGAGTAACAGCACTCAGGCTGATTAAAGGGGAATTCCACCCATTTTTCAAAATTTGTGAATAATTCAGTCCTTGAAATGTAAACAGAATCATTCAGAGCAGGTTGATGTGAAATGGTTCATTATTGTACAACTTACAGATGTCTTTACAGTGGTGGTGATAGGAACCAGGGGTCGCCATGACTACAACACAAATATAGACATTTTATTTACTATTTAAAACCACCAGTGAACCTACACGAGTCTTCTGAGTTTATATGGAATGTTGATGATGGTAAAATAGTGACAAATCTGAAAAAATAAGTTTTCTTTGGTGACTATTTTGCCTAACAACACTCATGCATGTATCCCTCCACCATGAATGGATTAGAACAAATGGATTCAAATACATTTTAAGCCAAAACATTATCATACAGCTATCATAAAAACAGTGTCTCAGACATCAGGCAGTATATATCTGACCATTTCATGTAAAACCTTTGTGTGAGGGAGCTTTTAGAGGTGGACGTCTGGTTCCTATCACCACCACTGTGAACAGTTCTGACTCCGTAAGTTTCTCTAGAACAGAGCGTTTCACACCAAACCACTCTGAATGACTCTGTTTACATCTTAACCATTTAATTATGTAGAAGTTTTTGGGTGGAGTTCCCCTTTAAGATTATTAAACATTATCTTATTCTGTGATACCACTATGTACGTGGAAAATATCATGAATTCTATTCGTACTGCCCAGCCCTGGCCATCTTACTGATGCCCACACCGGACCGAGGCAGCTATGGGGCAGTCTGAGCCGGCGCGGCCCCTCAGGCCTCTCGGAGAGAATCTGTCTGACTGCATTTTCATCTGCTACCTCCAAACCGTGTTCATTTCCGCATGCTGCTTCTGCTTAAGTCATCATGGCATTCCTCCTATAATCACCGCTCCATATTCACATCCACACCAGCCCGCTGGAGCCGAGCCAGCAGCAACACAGCCCACCAGTTTAAAGCCACGGTTTGGCCAAAAATCTAATTTGCAGACTTTCCCTCTTATCTCAAATGTCACTAATCAAATAGTCTTGATTGTGTGGTTTCTGACACTGTATGAAACACTTTTCACAAACATGGACTAAAGTAATGGCTTCAAGATAGCTGCTGCTGTTTTTAGCTATATTAATGCCCTTCAGTCCATGTTTATAGATAACAGTGAGCCGTACAGCATCAGAAAGCACAGTCTATTAGAGATCCTGAACAGCTCCACACGCTCTGAGACAAGTTTCTGATCATTTACACTGCATTCGATCATAAATCAACACAGCATAAAGCAGCCAGCTAACGTTAGCACAATGAGTGGCAGCTAAAGAACTCATATCCTACATTTTACTGCATTTTTTAACATTTCCAACTTCTTTGTATTCCTTAGAATCAAACAGGCTGTTTTTGTTACTGTGCCTTTAAGACAGATATATGTAAATGAGCTCTGTTCTGATTGGCTGCACTGCGTTGTGCCACATTCAAAAAGCAGTTCAGGCTGAAACTCTCCTTATAACTTTAGTGTGAGTGGGCGGGGCTAAACTGCTGTGGACCTAACAAGACCTGATTCACTAATATGCAAAAGTTTGAACACCCCGACTCAAATTACATGTTTTGTTGATTAAGTAAAAATATTATTTCAACACATTTTAAGTGAAAATAATTCAGCACATCCTCTACAGAGAACTTAAATAATAACATTTGTGGCTAATTTTAGTGCACAATTTCTATTTATTTTGTTGAGTTTAACACACTGGGAAAACAAATAAATCATAAAATATAAAATGTAAATAAAACTTTTGCACAGGCCACATTTTAGATCTTTTTTATCTGGTTTGTTAAGCAAATAAACAGAAATTGTGGTCAAAACGTGAAATAAAATGTGCAGAAGTGTGTCTCTGTGGAGGATGTGTAACTTATTTACAACAAAACACCAGGGGTGCCCAAACTTTTCGCAAACTGTGTCGGTTTTCATGACATCACAAAAGTAATGAATTAAAAATGGGCTGTTTTTGCAGCTTAGTCTCTCCAGTCACTCTGGATTGGGAAGCTTTTAAAAAAATAAATAATTAAAAAATAAGGAAATTTCAGTTTTGCATGTTTATGATTTATTCACCTTCTCAAAACAGCAAACCTACGGTCAGCGTTACAGATTTGACCAACTACTTTGTCTGTACGTTGGTTAATCTAAAGCTAGTTCTACTATAATCTCACCTCTCAAGCAGAGAAGTGGTGCTTTATCACTGGTGGCGGTGGTAGCGCCCATGCTGATGTGACCTCATAAGGATAAGGACACCTTCCCAACCTTCCGAGCCGTGATTCCCAGCTGAGGGGCCACTTTCTTTGATCTTGACTAGTCAGAGATCAGAAATTCCCAATCATGAGCTTCGGTCAAGTTTGCAAAATACTAGTCTGCGCACTGCTAACTGGTGTACATAAGCTTCCATTACTTGTTAGCTACATTAGCCTCATAGCTCCAGTGCCTAACCTAAGGAAGCAGACTTCAAACACCAAACATGTCTTGGCTGATGAGCTACACTAGGAGTAAGGGGTGAACTGTGTACACTTCATTTCTAGCTGAACTACCGCTTTAACGCTGCACGGCATGACTGGCTGCAGTGGAAACTGTTCTGACAGACTCAGACTCCAGCGGCCTAAACAAGGCACCGCAGTGATCGATGCCCTTCAGACATTTGAGGTAACCCACTCTGGCAAAGGAGAACACCATGGAGCACAATCTAACACACTGAAAACCTCAAAAAAACAGCCAGGCCTGACCTTTAACCTGCACTGACCAAGAGATTTAACACCTGTTACTCAAACCGGGCTACTAAACTGTGCTCGCTGCTCATCTCAGAAGTGCTCTCCAATTAGAAAAGGGTGTGAACGTGAACTTCTCATCTCCTGGACACTGTGGCCTAGCCTCCTGTCTGACACCAGTTGCTCCAAACGACAGACCACACAGGTCGTGTTCTGATTACGGGTATGGTTTTAGGCTTCAGGTTCTCATTTCATGTGCCTACCGCATGATCCCCCACCCTTTCAGCCGTTCTAATCCTAATACTGTGATATAACTCAAAAGCCTGTTGTGCCGAGCCGTGTGCCAGGCACCGACTCGCTGTAGGGAGGGGAAAACGCACCAGAAAACCTTTCTTTCAAAACATCTTCACGTCCTGCTACATGACTGCATGACAGGTAGGCCTGCTTAGCTCACCTTATGTGCACCCAAGCAGGCGGGCAAACCATTATAAAGCCCTTAATAACCTCCCCAACCCCCTTCCCCCTCTTTTCCTTCTTTCTCGTACCTCCACATTGCATAAAAAGACAAAAAAAAGCATTCCTGCCAAAAAGGAACCTGAATGTCATGTGAACAGGGAACAGGGTGGTTCCTTAATTAATGTAAGCAGCTCTCTTAAACCTGGTGGAGGCATGTTGCAGGCCTGTTTATGATTATGATGACCCCAAAGCTTACAAAACTAAAACATCAACAGAAAAAGAAAATCAGTGCAATCAATTTTACATCTTCTTGCCACACATTTGGAGTCATGACAGCCAGCCACCTTTACCTTTGGCTGCAACTGCAACCAGGCAGGAAAAAAATAATAAACCAGCAAAAGCAGCTGCAGCTGCTGCTGAATGAAGCCATGCATGACTGTCAGCACATACTGATGCAGCCCACAACTCAGATACTGTACTACAATAACCGTGTAAACATGTAAAGAAAAGAGGGAAATCAGCCAAGCAGCTGGCTTACATGTCCATGGCATTTGGGATGCCAGCAGCTGAACAATAGATGAGGGATGCTGAGCACACTGAGGTTACTGTTACTGGCTCAACAGGGCTTTTTCGCAGCTTTTAACACGCGCAGGCGCCCCTGTCCGGCCAGATTCGTCAAGCTAAACGCTACAGCGGATTCATAACTTACCCCGGAGCTGAGATGGAGGTGGAAATGAGGATGCCGTGTAGTATTTTCTGGCCTTTCCCTGCCGACTTGCTCCCCACAGCCCTGTGTGTTGGGCTCCACTGACTGGCTTACTGAAAGCCTGCTGCATCGGGCGACTCCACTCTCCAGCGGCAGGGGGGTGACCGCGCCGCACAAAAAGCACGAAATCTCGTTTACACAGATAATTTAGCTGGATTTCTGATGTGTCAAGCTTTAAAAATCTTAAAAAAGCCAACACTAACTAATCTTCTCGTTTCTTAACTGTCATAAACTGGTGCGTCCCTTTCCAAAAAAGGATCTCCCCCCTACATGTGAAAATACTCTGGTCCGGTTTTTCTTAAAGAGCACCGGCCAGACCTTCCCCTGTTATCTGATGGGCAGTGTGTGCTGTCTAATGAAAACGGCCCTGAGAATGATGTTTTTTGCATGGGGAAACTTTATTTTTAGGCTCAGACTTCATTGATCATGATTATTCCTTTATTTAATTACTTGTACATCATATAAACTTTGCTGAATCTGCCATCTAGTGGGGTACACTAATGAAATGTCCAGTTTGGGCTCCTGTTAAAGGGGAAATTCCACTGTTTTTTGGAAATTTCTACATGATTCAGTGTCTGAGATGAATGGTTTGGTGTGAAATGGTGCTCAGATTTCTTTACAGTGGTGGTGATAGGAACCAGCAGTCACCGTGTCTACAACACAAATATAGATGTTTAATTTACTATCCAAACCCACCAGTGAACCTACACAAGTCAGCTGAGATTTAATGTTTTCAATGATGGTAAAATAGTTTTTTTGGGGGGACTATTTTGCCTCACAATGCCCTGCATATACCCCTCCACCATAGAAGGACAGAAAGTATATATGTTTTAGGCCAAAACTTCTCAAATCTGTCATAAAACAATGTCTCAGCAACTTTCTGTGATGTAGCTTAAACTCTTCAGACGTCTGGTTCCTATCACCACCACTGGGAACAATTCTGACTGTAAGTTTCTTTAAAACGGAGCTTTTCACACCAAACCACTCTGAATGACTTTACAAGTTAACCGTTTAATTATGCAGAAATTCTGAAAAATCGGTGGAGTTGCATTTTCATTTACAGACAGTAAATGAAGAAACTGACTGGGTCAATTACTTTTTCTCACTCTAAATCACTTTTATGCATATTTAACTCCTTATTTATGCCTTTTCTGCACTTGAAATTTGGAAAGTCGGCATGTGTATTGTGCATATGTCTTACACGAAAGAATCTATATACACATATACACTTTATTAGGATACAGTAACGTAGTTCACATTTCACCTATCTGTTAAAAATATGTAACAATCTGATCATTTTCCATAACATTTCGTAAAAATTAACATTATTTTTACATTAAAGGTCTAGAGATACTGATTAGTTTCCCATTTGAGGAGACGCACCTAAGCTGGTGCTTTCTGGCTCATTTCACAAAAAATATTTGCCGTTTTTCACGAGGCAATCCCAGCAAGACGTCACCCATGTGGCTCCTAGAACATTTCGGGAATGTTTTTCAAGAGCAGGCCATGTTTTCTTTGTAGGCCTACTGATATCCAGGGTAAGTTTGCATGAAAAATTTTGTTCTTATCATTTATAGAAATTCCCCTGAAGGCTCAAAAAAATAGTTCCCAGAGAACATTCTGCTATTGAAACCTTTGTGCCATGACAGAACATTATAGTGAACCAGAGGCCACAAAACTGGAAAACTGGAAGTCGCTACAGGTGATTTAGGGATTGCAGCGCTAACCAGCAAAAGCGTTAACTTTCTACTGGAAGTTATTTACCCATATAAACATTTTTAACATGCACATTAGATTTGAAATGTGTCAATAATGAGCCAAACAGGAACTGTGCACACAAGTTATGGTTGTCTCTGCACTGATTAGCGTTCTAGCCTCTTGCTGTATGCTAATCAGTGCATAGACACTAGCATAACTGTGAGGCTACATGAGCTTTTAACTGAAAACTAAGTAAACAGCCTCAGTATTTAATGTGGTGACTAATAACCCAAACCCAGAAAAACTGGAACAGTAGTTACATTGCAAATAAAAACACAAGGCAGTGATTTATAAACTGTCTTTTACAGGGTTTTACAGCACAAATAAGAGGCATTTAATGTTTTTACCTCATCAGCTTTATTGTTTTCTATAAATATATGCCAATTCCAAATTTGATGCCTGCAACACATTCCACAAAAGTTGGGACAGAGACAAATGTAAGACTTGGAAGTTTGTGGAATGATCAAAAACTCCTGTTTTGGAACTTTCCACAGGTAAACAAGTGAATAGGTAACAGGTAATGATTGACTATAAAAAAGCTTTCACAAAAGGCTCAGTCATCACTTTGTGAAAAACTGTGTGAGCGAATAGTCCAACAGTTTAAGAACAACATTTGTCAATGCGCGATTGCAAGGAATTTAAGGTACATAACATTATTAAAAGATTCAGAGAATCCAGAGAAATCTCAGAGCATAAAAGGCAAGGCTGAAAACCAATATTGAATGCCCATGACATTTGGTCCTTCGGATGGCACTGCATTAAAAACCGACATGCTTCTGTAATGAATGTAACCCGGTGGGCTCAGGAATACTTTGGAAAACACTTGTCAGGAAGCACAGTTTGGCTTTGCATCCACTAATGCAAGTTAAGACTTTATTATGCAAAGTGGAAGCCAAGAATCAACATCAGGAAAACGCCGCCGACTTCTCTGGGCTAAAGCTAATCTGAAATGGACTGACACACAGTGGAAATGTGTACTGTATTCTGATGAACGGGACTAATTTTCAGTGTTGCACGCAGGAGCTGGCAGGAAACCAGCCCCCTGCAGGTGGGAGCGGACCGGAGCACACATGAACAGAAATCCGGCAAATTGATGAATGGACTACATAAAGCAGAATAATCACTAAATCACAAACAACATAAAGTGATAACAGGAAAATAATTAAAATTTAGTCATCCTAAAGAGTTGCAAAGGGTGGGAGTGGGAGCGGGATGATGTCTTGCGGGAGCGGGTGGGTGCGGGACTGAAAAAACTCCCACGCAGACCTCTGTTCTCCAGGCCAAAGAAGAAAATAACTTTCCGGATTGTTACCAGCATAAAGTTCAAAAGCCAGCATCTGTCATGGTATTAGTGGGTAACCTGCACATCTGTGAAAGCACCATTAACGCTGAGGAGTACATACGCTCTTTGGAGAAACATAAGCTGCCATCTAGATGACGTCTTTTTCAGGGATGTCCCTGCTTGTTTCAGCAAGACAATTCCAAGCCACTTTCTGCATGTGTTACAGCAGTGTGGCTTTTGTAGTAAGAGAGGGCAGGTGATAGTCTGGCCTGCCTGCAGTCCACAAATGATTACCATTGAAAAGATGTGGCACATTATAAGGTGCAATAAACAACAATGGAGTCCACAAAAGTGCAAAAAAATAATTAGTTGAAACGTGAAATATCTTCTCTTTGCACTGTTTTCAAACCAATACAGATTAAAAATTATACTTTGGTTTACATTTTTCCTACTCTCCCAACTTTATGGAATGAGGTTTGTATATTTTTCACTCTGCAAGACATTTTTCTCAGTTTTTATCATAACTCTGTCGCTTCAGCTTCATCAGTCTGTCAGGTTAGCTTCAAACAAAGCAGTTCCTCTGGTGTAAAGGCTGAATCACTGCAGTTGTTCAGTACCACACCAGCACAAACCGTCAGACAACAATATGTAGCTGGGATTTGCAGTGTTTAATCTGGGATTAATCCTGAGGTGGTGAGCAATTCCTGATCGGAATTCAGAGTAGACTTTATCAGGGACGTGTGAAGTGCAGCAGCAGCCCTTCCAGATTACAGGATTGTTTAAAGGCCCCATGTCAAAGAAAGGTGAATTTTGTTTAAATACAGTTTAATGTTGCATAAAAATGTTTCAAAACGTACCAATCACCAGTCCATATAGTCCATTTATGGAAACTAAGCTTCAAAAATAGTCCATTTTGAATTCACTATTTTTTTGATGTCACAAAAACCAACACATTCACATATATCCACCTATTCAGTCTACAGCAGTTTAGCCCCGCCCACTCAGACTGAAGTTATAAGGAGTGTTTCAGCCCAGACTGCTTTTTAAATGAGGCACAATGCAGCACAGCCAATCACAATTGAGCTTATTTACATGTATCAGTGTTGAAGAGGGCACAGCAACAAAAACAGCCTGTTTAGTTGTAAAGAGAGGTATGAAAAAATAAATTGTGTAGACACACACAAACATTATAAGTAATGCTTCAGGGAGAAAATATAAAATGTATTTTCAGCAGAATTGTTTTATTCATTTATAACTGAATATTTTTTAGAGATGATCTCATAAAATAGCATGAACCCAAATTTCTGCTTAATATGATAAATTCAGCACTAAATCCTGTTCCTTGTAACGGTGAGGTTTTTCTGGATTTCTTCCTGGCTGAGGTTGAAATAATTAGAGCTAATATTTCATCTTCTGTGATTAGGCCGTTTGTCTGTCAGCCTGGTATTCCAACATCTGAGACTTTTGAACTGGTTTTCTTCTCTCAGTTATCTGGCATTGTTTCTCAACACTGCAAATAATAATATCTTAACAAGTAAAAACTTCTTAAATGCAGTCAATAAATCTAACATCTCTCATTATGAGTCTGTTGTAAGAATATTATAAGATTATTCCACCTGTTTCTGTACATTTTTACTTGTTTTAAGTGATTTTATCTGGTGAAAGTGTCTTATTCCATTGGCAGATTAGTTTACTTGTTTAGAGAAATAATGGAGATAATTTTGCTCATTTCAAGAAATAATGATTAAAACAAGTAACATGATCTGCCAATGAAATAAGACACTTTTATAAGATAAAACTGCTTAAAAACAAGTAAAAATGTCTAGAAATAAGTTAAACAATCTCATAATATTCTTACAACAGTCTTATTTATTGACTATATTTGAGATGTTTACACTCCCCAAGACATAATTTTTTGCAGTGTATGAGGTTATACCTATAACCATCTTAGTTATTCAAGGAAATTTTTGATACAATTGGATCTGATGTTTTCTCAGTTATA